ATCATCTCCATTATCCATCCTCCAATGATCGGAATACGAATTGTATGTTAAATAAAATAGAAATTAGGTCTCGTTAGCTCGACCTGGATCAACTGTATTGTCGACCAAATCACAAAATTACACAGATGCAGTCGACCGTGGGAGTTGAGGTGGTTGACCTAATTAGGAAAAAAGGGAACCACAGAGAACCGTTAACCAGCACACATGACACATGGAAGCATGCCTTAGAAAACAAGGTTGACCAAATAGTTATAAGGTCGACCGAAGTAAGAACACACAGCCACCAACACACGATCACAATAAGAGCGATGAGATTACAACTTAACTCCAATAAATTGCATAAATTGAAGTATGATGAAAGTCTTAAGACTTCCATCTATTTATAGAGAATATAGACGAATTCATTATCCTTACTAGTATGGGGAACACATATCCCAATTAGTCAATGATACATAAAATCCTAATTCAACATTGACAAGTAGGCAAAATCCTCATTGGACAGGAGAAGTACACAATAAGCTAATTCGATCGATCTAGGTCGACCTCTTTATGGGAATGGTCGAACATTTTTGCTAGAGGAGAAATAGACAGGACTGGATCCTTATTCCACATTGTTTAGGAACTAAGTAAAGGTATCATAGGTCGACTGTAACCATACCAGGTCGACCTGTGCTCTGCCTACAAGGTCGACATCTTTGATTCTGTGGTCGACCTCTTTTAGTAAACGATTCAAATTCTAAATTCCTTGAAATCAATCATTGTATAACTAATCAAATAAATGAAAAACATTGAATATCCAAAAGGAAACAACTTCGCAAATCCAAATTTAACATATTGTCTAAGTAATGCAACATTGTAACTAAATGACTTTATTTCTTTGCTTTTTTGTTTTAACTCTCTCTTTTTGCCTCGTTCCATGCATTCATCTATTACATGCTTGAAAAGATTTTCTCGTGCACGGTTTCCAAAATGTGTAGCCAGATACCATAGAATCTCCTTTCGAGAAGGTAATTTGTGTAAGACTTCGTTAGAACAAAAAAAAAATACAAATTTAAACAAGTTCTTGGTTGACGATATACTAACCACTCTATCCAGATCTTTGGATCCATAGCGCATCCACTCCATGACGTGCACACCACACTCGGTACTATTCCTTTGCCCTTGAACACATAGCTCTGCAACATTGAAATCTCCAAAATTTGGTACTGCTACAACGCTCATGCGCTCCAGTTTAAAAATATCATGCAATTTGGACAACTACACACAAATAACGAATATTATATGCTTCTAGTAGTATACGTGACACTTAGTAGTGGGAAAATTATAGGAAACACTTACCAATTTCTCACAGAGGTTTGATTTGCGCTTATGACCCGCCTCACTAGTTGAAGGTAGACTGTCAAGCAAATATGTGATTTTTTGCTGGACATTGACGAGATACGGAAACCAATGACGTGATTCATCGTCCAAAACTGGCATTAATATCTAGCAACGAAAAATCACTATATGTTATAAAAAAGCGAATACAAATAAATGCACTTCGGATGCTTAATGAGATAGGGACATTAACTAACCTTCTGGCATGCCCTAACATTTGGAATAAACACCACGCCATCATCCATCAACTTGTTACGAATTTGTCTGGTCTTCATGTTAGTGTGTACCATTTTCTGCACCATATTTTTATTGAGATTAATTGACATGGTATAATATTAATAACTAGGTTATGAAAAATAAATAAAAATTACGGCTCTTACCGAAAACATATTTGACAAATACCACACATTTGGCTATTTATTCTCATGTTTTTTAGACATTGTTAGTGCCCTTGCACACACATCTACCACCTACCAACCGCCAATCAACCACAAAATCCTCGTAAATTATAACATAAATAGTTCACAATTCATACGAAATTCGTAGCAGTATAGTACTTACGGATGATCAAATTTAGCTACTCTCGCTAATGACCGAACTCAAATATTTTTGTTGCACGTTTTCGTTAAAAAATCCAACAACGGTCAAACTGCAAAACCCAAAATAATAGAAATGTCAATTGTGATTTGCACATATCGGTCGACCTATTCACAGACAAGGTCGATCTATTTAGGAAGATGTGGTCGACCTCATTGTCTAAACGGTCGACCACATATACTACTTTAAGAAAATAATATGTCTCTTACCCGTCTCAATTCGTGTCTCCAACCTTCTCCTTTAATAACAACATAAAACAAGTCTCAACTAGATTTTGCATATTTTTTATGAATCCTTCTACGCCATCCACTTTATGGACCAACAAATCATAGTTAAATTGAAAGTTATATATGAAAACAAACACACATTATAGATGAATATGTACATAAACTTACTCCATGCTTTTCAAAAGGACTCTTAGATTCATATTCATTGCTATAAGCACTAAATAATCCTTTTCTTACTACATGATCCTTCTGTGGAGTGATGTAGGAGTCACTTTCACATCGAAGTTTCTTGTACTTAGGAGAGGAACCCTTGCTGCCAAACGTTGTTTCACTCTGTCAATCATATAAACAAAACAAATTAGCACTAATGATAGTAATAATAATATCTTCACTCACATATGAATACACTTATCTACCTTTAATTTGTGGTCTTTCAATAAATCGTCTATGATTTGGTAGCAATTTGCATAGTAATCATGGTCTTCCTCCTCTTCATCAAAGTCAAATTTCTTTCTCGTGCCATCTCTTCCTCCATTCTCCATTTGTTTTGCACGTATTTTTTTGATAGTACCTTCTAGCTTCTCAAAACCACCATCTTAGTCATATCTGTCAATTGAATTGACAATTGCTCCACTGTATCACAAAAGGACTTTTGATAGTCATTGAATTATTTTTGACACACCACCAACTGCTCTTGTGTGGCTTTCAACACTTTCATGATTTCATCCTCATCGTATTGATGTTTCTCATCGTGTGCCATCGTCTAAAAAATTTAAAGAAAAATTCAAATCATAATTCAACTTCAATTTTGTACAAATGATCAACAACAAAGACATGGTCGACCTAACTTATTATTAGGTCGACCTTGAAGACATAATTTGTCACTACCAGAAACAATTAGGTCGACCTTTGCTCTTCCTACATCGACCTATCAAGCAGAAAAATACCAATTTACCAACAAAAATATCTGTAATACTACCACGAACAATTGATAGGTCGACCAGACACATTGACCGGCCGACCTTTTAAGCACACCATGGTCTTACCAACAAAGCTAAAGTCGACATTCAGGATAAACAACCAAAACAAACACAAACAGTCGACCTTGACTTAAATTAGTTCGACCTATTGGGTTTGATCTTCCTCAGCTTTCAAGTGCAAAAGTCCGAGTGTTGTGCCCTAAATCAATTTCTAGCAATTTCAAACAGAGGTCGACCTGATTGAGAAAAGGGTTGAGCGAATGGTCTTCTGCACGCAACAAAATATAAAATTAAACGGTGAAAATTACGCATTAGACAAGATGACGGCGATAGCTACATTAGGTCGACCTCACCTTCCACATGGTCGACCTCTTGAAACACGTACAACAGCAAACGCAAAGGATCTTATTCACAAAAGCTCAAACAGTACAAAAAATCTAATTCGGAGTTTGGGTGGCGGTGAAGGTGACATATATTCATATTTATAGATATTTAGGATGAGGTTTGGTCGAATTAAGTGGTAGACAAGTTAGGGTTACCTTTCTGGTGTTGGAATCCTTATCCAATACGGATACGGTGTGCACGCGGTCGACCTCGTACTTGTCAGGTCGACCTTTTATACTATTTTCCTAAATAATCCTAACTTTGATGTTGATCAGTGAACTACACAGAGGTCGACCTTTTCACTTATGAGGTCGACCGATTAGTATCAAAATGGTCGGCCTTTGAGGTATTTGGTTCGACATTTTAATATGTTGGCTTCCCAAAGAGGTCGACCATTTGATGTATAAGGTCGACCGCGTCAGTGAGCCTCTCAAAACTAAAACATCAGCTTAGGTCGACCTAATCCTAACAAAGGACAACCGAAAAGTGTAATTTACGACGACTTGCAAGTCACCGTAGCAAAGTACCTACACTTTATTTAAAGGTTTCACAAATTATACATTTTTTTACAAAAGATAACCTTATAATGATTAGAAAGATATCGAACAAATTACAATCTGGTATACAACCAGGAGAGGAAATCAAAAGAACGACATATAGTTAGATACAAGGAAAGAGCTTTTATAGCCACTAAGTGGACAAATTATACCTATTGAATTTACCAATACCGTAACATTTAGTATACCGAAACATGTGATACAACTTAAATCAATTTTCACCACCAGCTAGTTACTATTTGGCAACTCGTTCCTATTGGTAGCATTACCTAGGGCTACTATTGAGATAAGTTGTTCAGGAATGGTTTGACATTCGACCCGAGGAAAAAAAATCATTTGATTCAGAAAAACCTCGACTCATTATTAACGAGCCGAGCTTGACCGATGCCTTGTTTACCTCGTGAGGCTCGTGAGCCAACTCGATTAGGTGGCTTGTTGAGCTCAACTCGTGAACTAACTCCTTTTGAGCTCATGAGATGTCTCAACATTGTGACTAGCAAGCCAACTCGACTGCCGGCTTATGAGAAAATCGATCTATATCTTATGATTTGCCTTGTTGATTCTTCATAGGATTATTAAATTGTATATCTCACTTCATGATCCTATTAAATTGTATATCTCACTTCATGATGTGACTTTGAGTATTTGAGTAAATATGTCTCATATATGATATGAGATCAGTTAATCACATGTATCATATATGACATATAAATATTAGAGTATTTAATTTATAAATTATCTTAAAATTGAGTTTGAGTGGAACTCCCAATTTTAAGGAAGAACCAGCTCGAGCTTAGTCGAACTCAGCTCGTTAATAAATTATCCGAGATCAAACTTGAATCGTTTATTAGCGAATCAAATTTGAACAAGACAAAGTTCGACTCAACTCATTTTTTCGACTCAGCTCATTAAGAGTCTAGCTATGCCACATTTGAAGCATTTGTCGATGGAAAAAATGTTGAAAACCAAACCAGAACTCCATCATTCTGCTGCCAATAGTTTCCCAAAAGAAGACATTTCCATCAGTGATAAACTCCAGCAGCAGCTGCAATACATTAGATATCACTGAGATCCCCGCCTCTACGCGCAACGAGGGCAATCCCAGCCATCCCAAATTAGCAGAGAACATGATTAGAGTAAACACCAACAAGACAAGCGGTCATCACGGAGAAGTTCATTCATCTGAGCTACATTCATTCATGAAGAAGGTTTATCCACACAAAAGATGTGATTTCCATCCTTACAGCTGCGTAGCTAGTAATCCAGCTTATGACAGAATCCCAGCCTAGATCAAGGTCCAAGAGTCAAGAGAAATGTTTGCGGATATATAGTCAAAGTCCAAAAGAAGCAAAACATTAACAACAATATATCAAACTTAAAATAGTAAGGGATTGCACTGCTTCAGTCCCCAGCATTGATCTCTAAGCATTGTGGCCCATCTGCAACAGAAATAAATCAACACGGATTTAGTTTCTCTGCTTTGGAACCAAGTTCAGTTCCCCTAGTTCAAAACTTCACATGCATGATGTCATCCAAATAGTTACCAAGATTCCCACTGAAGGCAACGTTTTCAATCTATTACCACATTGATACAAGTTTAACCAAATAACCATAATCGTAACCGTTAACTATATCATCAGGCATCTTCCAAGTAGCTAGGCTGTGCAACCCTCATGCAGACATCAGAAGGAGAAGGAAAAAAAAGACCGGAATTTTTTTAAAAAATGACCAAATTACAAGCCAACAAGAAGAACTACAGAATCACCTTTTTCTCGGTCACAAAGCATAACCAGGGGAAATCTATTAGCCAATGCAATACAGCATGGCGTTGATAATGGGGCTCAGTGACCCATAACCTATCCTCTTTTGAAGGCTGCCTAGCACAATCAAAATTTAATTTAGATTTTAGACTCCACACCCATAATTGAGGAATCACTTTCTTTTCTGTCTCAAAAGAGCTCGGAATTGCATTTGTGGGAGGCGTAAAGAAATTGTATATCTTAATCAACTGGGTCACTTTGCTTGGACTACTGTGCATACGAGCAACTGGGTTAACACTAATGTGCAGACACCATTCTTACCACATCTACAGGATCATACAGAACAACACTGCCCTATATGTGAACCCAAAATCTGAGGTGATTTTTTGTTTCTTCACTTCTTCATCTTCAAACGAAGAAGGAGCTCAAATTACTAAGAAGGTAAATACAAATAGGTGTAGAGTATTATCTACTGTTTCACGGTACAAAACCCCCATATGGAATATCCAGTACTTCTGGCTCTTTTCTTGTCGAAAAATTCAACTGGGTAGAGTTATCTATTGGTGAACCCGCAACACCCAATGTTTCAAATTTGAACAGATGCCTAGGTGAACATTTTTACAACATCCATAAGCAGTTCTTAGGTGAACATTTTTACAACATGGATGCTTTATTTATCCTCCCCAACTATCCATACAGATTTCTGAATTTCATTGCATTCTTTTAACACTGGTCTTCACAATTGACTAATTAAGCAATCATTTTAAAATCACTTATCCTTCCACCAAAAATTCTGAGCGATTATAAACTCTCGGAATCAGTTCTGAAAGGAACCAAGAACTTCCCACAGTCAATAGAATCATCCATACAGACAGGATGAAGAATCATGGCTAGTTTAGCCACACATTGAACACAACAAACAGTATGACGCAGCACCACTAAAACAATAAGTCACTACTAAGGGTTTGCCTTGCTAGTCATGATTTGCTTTTACACTGTCTGGTTTACATTCCAACATAATACCCTGATACATAAGTATCTCATGGAGACTTCATGATGACCATCAGTATTCACATCCAAATATCACCTCAACATCGATATCATAAGCCTAAAGTTCATCAACAATTCTTCAGAACATGTTCATTTAGCTAAAATGGAGAATCGAATTTTAGAAGAGAACCTGGGAATAATTTAATTCGTAGGGTAAGACGAGTTACTTAGTTTTCACCTGAGTTTACACTTGCTTCCAAACTCTCGCCATCAAATAAACATTTCAAACTCGAAATCTAACTACAAACACAAGAATGGCTCAACCAAACAAAAGCAAAAGGAGCTCACTTTCCCCGTTAGTTTTATGCTAATGATAGTCATACATATCATTAGAAAACAAACAATACTCACAGAACTCAAGTTCTGAACCAGAGAAACAACATTCATCCACAACATCGGAAAACAACTGGGAAATGACAGAATTGAGAAGGGGAAATTCGAATACAAAGGTCAAAGAGGTACCTTGAGAAGAAGCAATCCTTTACTCCTCGGACTCCACGGCTTCGGCCTTGGGACCTAATCCACAAATGAAAACAGGGAAAATTGAAGTATTCAATTCAAAGAAACAAACTACACCGAAGAACATGAGAATCTCAGAATCAAGATTGGACAGAGAGGGAGGTGGTGGCAAAACCGTGAAAAGAATGAGGGCGATGGTCCTTCCCCCAGCCGATGCCACGGGTGGACTCGAGGTACTCGTCAACGAGGCGACGGCATTTCTGGTGGTGGTTGACACCTTCGACGCGATAACACCAGCGGAGCCTCTCCCTCAGAATCTTGGCCTTCTCAATGGCGATCCACTTCTCCCTCACGATGTGCTCTCTCATCTCCAGCATCGCCACCGGGTCCTTGTACGGACTCGACGGATCGAAGTCATCCGGCGGCGATTCCTCGAACACGGCGACGCCCTTCTTCCTCCCCATCTCGTCCTCTTGCCTTGAGTCAATCTAGCGCGATGATGTCTCTGTGAGCTTTTGCGCAGCGGGTGAGCTCTGATGATCTCCCTCTTCGCGACTCCGCTGGCTCATGTTCTCCAAGTTGGGGGTGTTGGGCTTTGAGGAGATTAGAGATATGGGCTTTTTTGTAGTCTTCTAGTCCATTACTGTTAGTCTGGTTAGCAGTGGTCTTGGGCTCAAATTGTATCGCGAATACCGGAGCCCATTCGTATGGAATCGTAGAGGGTAGACCACACAGAATTCTGTTTCTTCCTAAGTTCCCGCCTCCGCTCTCTTATTATCTTCACAAACTCAAAATTACTAGAAACCAGAGAAAACGAAAGCAGAGGAAATTTCCTGAGACTAAAAGCTGCATGCATCGGGGAAAGACCCTGGAAACACAATATGTTGGTGGGAGGCTGGGAGCTACTACGGTAACTTGGATATAATTTTTAAGGGTTAATAGCATAAATTGCCCCTCTACTATGGTTTTTTCTCAAATTTGCCCTTCTATTATGTTTTACATCAAACTTGCCCTCCTACTATTACCATGATACCAAATATAGCCTTCTGTTAATTTTTCCATCCGAGTGACGTTAGCTCCGGTCCGACCGGTCGGAATTCGCAAAACCAGGCCGAGAAAAGACAATTTTACCCCTCCGTTCTGTTAACTTACATCCGTGTAATTTTCCCACCCTCTCTATTATTACTTCGATCAGTAAACTCCATCCCCATTATATTATTACTCTTTCCCCAGTATTACCCTTCCGTTCCACATAATTATACAAGTAGAACAAGTTAAATCCTCAGACCTGTTTACTCCATGTTCAAATGCTAAAAGCTTGTTTACGTCAAACTTAACATAGCAAGTATAATAACTTAAATTTCCAGACTTGTTTATTCTATGAAACTGAACTTTACGTAAAACTTAATATAACAATCTTATAGTCTGCAAAACATAATCGTCAAGAATAGTACTGTGTATGTTCATCACCCTTTTTAACATATAAGGTCTAAAATAACATCATATCATTGACCCACGACACATCTAACAAAATGATGGCAAAACATGGAGTGAACTTCATCGATCTAATAATGCAAAGTCCCGTTCTAATTCAAAGTAGTGGTGGTGGTGCTTTCTTGTGTGTCGCCAAAGTTGTTGTCCCGTTGTTTTCGATGCTCTTGATTCGGATGTTGAAGCACCATCTTTCCTATCAAAGCAGGCTGCATTTCGAAACCGGAAAAATAAGAAACATTCATAGTAGCCTCCTGAACATTAATAATTAAGAAAATTTTCACGCATCCTTACGTTTCAAAACCTTTCTCAGTACTCCAATGCGTCCCACGTCCTGCAAATGGTGTTTTGTTCTTGGCTGATGGCTTCAGCCTACTGCTAATAGCGCCACCATTACCCTACACAAACACAATTTGTTGGACAAACCTCACAACAAAAAAAGCACAGAAATAACACTACAAACTACCATTGACCAAAGTACCATTGACTAATAGACAATCAAATAAATTGTGAACAGCTTACTTGCTTCTTAGAAGCACCGACATCTAAAGCACCCATTCTATCGCCACCGCATCCCGATAGAGCTCCATTACCTTGAGTTTTCTTTGGTTTCTTACATGTGCGAGAATTGTGATCAGGTTCGTTACAATTTTTGCACACTATTCTCCTCCCTTTTCTACCAAGCTTGGTATTATCCTTTTTATCACGAGCCAACAGCTCTTCGGAAGTGTACACATGCTTCTTTCTTGGCCTCCTCTTGTCCTCCATTTCCTCAACGCTTCTTACTCTCTTCTTCTTTGGTCTCCCAGGCATAATTCTAAAATCAGGAGGGAGGATGGACTCATAGTCACTTCTTATCCATGTCCTTGGTCCATCCATAGGTTGCAACACATTTTCATATGTGCTTCTCCACTTCTGTGTTTTGAAGCCTTCAGAAATATACATTTCAGGAATATCTCCTTCAAACGCCAGGCATGTGATAGCATGGGCACATGGGATTCCAGTTAGTGCCCACTCTCTGCAGGAACAACTCAAATTTGGAACTGAAACTATGAACCTCTCATTGTGTTCTCGAACTTCATACCCATTATTCCATTATGAGTGATATGACAAGCATCACTTTTCATTGCATTTTTCTCAAACTTCTTCAGTATTTTCGGACAAAACTCTTTGTCCCACTTATCTGCTTGTGCCTTCTTGGTTGCAATCATTGACATCATCATAGTCCGAATATCATCCAACATTGTATAGATTTAGGAAGTTGCTAAAGGTCGCCCTAAAAAGTATCAAAGTTACACTTTTAACCCCCTTAACTTCTTTACCTTCCCTTCCTCAAACAAACATCACTTGGACTAAAAAAACAGTATCTTTTTTTTTATCAATAGATAGATTATATTATCAATCACCAAAAGATAGCACTGTTTATACACCAAAAGAACACAACCAACACTCAAAATCAAAACTCTCTACATCTGCAGGCAACAAAGAAAGGGTCTACACTAAAAAAAACACTATCTAAGGAGAGAAAAATCCATCATCGTCATTTTGAAGCCGATATCGTCGGTAGGACATCTGAATCATGAGTAGCGACTCCGACGAGGTAAAAACATTAACTGAAAAAAAAAACACAGAAAATGGGAACCGCGGGTCACTTGCGGTTCGACCATGGTCCAACCGCAAGTGACCTGCGGTCAGTGGCGGATCCAGAAATTTTAGGTAGGGGTGTCCTCTCTAAAAATTAAATTAAATTAATCATAAAAAAATTATTCAATAAAAAAATATCTAATATATGTGAATTACAACAAAGCACACGACGGGTTTCATATTTTGGAGACATTGTAAAATACATCGTTGTCTAACATTGCTCTACAAATCTCTCTTGATATTTCCGACTAGACAAGGGGAGCCTGTAATTGTGTTTAATCGTTAGCTTTGGAAAATAATTGGGGATAAGGAATAGCTTTTTACTATTATATTTTTATTTAAAATACAAGAAAAAAGGAGTTATAGTCTAATGAAAAGTATGCTTACTAATAGTAGCAGTGATCCGAGTTCAGATTATATAGACTACCACTTAAATATTTTTATTTACCCATACGCAAACTATTGCTAGAGGTTAGATAATCATTTGCCCAATTTTTAGGGTGTCTCACTACCACTTAAATATTTTTTCACCCATACACGAACTACTATCAGAAGTTGAATAATCGGGTTCCCAAATTTTAGGGGTGTCCCGGGACACCCCTAAAGCTGCATGTATCCGCCACTGCCTGCGGTTGAACCATGGCTTGACCGCAGGTCACTTGCGGTCCAGCCATGGTCCAACCGCAGGTCACTTGCGGTTCAGCCATGGTTCAACCGCAGGTCACTTGTGGTTCAGCATTTTATGGGTTTTTTTTTTCAAATCAGTATTTTCTATTTTTTATATGATTTATGATTTGTTCCATGAAATAATTTGTTGGATTTTGATTTATATAATTTTCTAGATTTATTTGCATAATTATTTTTGGAATTGAAGGATTTAGCATTAGAAATTAAGATTAGATTTGGCATTAAATTAAGATTAGATTTAATTTGGTCTTAATCTAGAAAATTAAGATTAGATTTTGCATTACAAATTAAGATTAAATTTATTGCATAAATAATAGATTCGCATATGAAGTTATGGTGATTATTAAATTTAATATAGTTATGAAATTTTAAATTTATCATATGGTACTCGTTAAATTGACGATATAGAATGTTAAGTTTTTTTTTTTAATTTGCGGGGTATCACTTATAAATTCTGATAACATTGTAGGATATTGGAAGTTACAATTCGGGTGGCCGTGATTACACCTCGGATTTCATTGATGGCGTGAAATACACTACGGAGTTGCAAGCATATGAAGCAGCTACTGAGATTGCCAAGGGTTTTGGGTTTTATTTGGTGAGGGCATCGAACAAAAAAAATAAGAATGAAGGTACTTGGCGACATTACTTACATTGCACTCATGGTAGGAAGAAGAAGTCGAAGGAACCTGATCCGAGTAAGGAAAGGAGGCCACTTTTCAGATCAAGCTTGAGCGGTCTGGTGATGGATATTGGTTGATCCTAGGGGTGGCAAATACAAAGAATCCTGGTGCTAATTTGGGTTTCCACAATCATCAGTTGGAGCTATTTCCGGAGGGATCAAAGGGAAGGAATGTTTTGACTACAGAGGATAAGCAATACATCAGAGAGCTGAGATCAGCCGGTGTCCCACCAAGGAATATCCACAAGGCAGTGAATGACAGAAAAGGTGCAAATGGAACACACAACAGAAAGCAGATTTATAACGAGTGTCACAAGATAAGGAAAGAAGAGCTTGGTCAGATGACAGCCTTACAGTATACTTTCCGCATGGCGCAGGAGAAGGGTTACTATGTGCAGTATATGGACGATCGTAACGTGCTTACACACTTGTTCCTAGCCCACCCCGAGTCAATAGTGATGTTGCGAGCTTGGCACCATGTGATCGTGATAGATGCAACATACAAGACCAATAAGTATGATATGCCTTGGGTTGAGATTGTCAGCATGACACCAGTGGGATTGAACTTTGTCATTGCATCTGCAATAGTGTACGACGAGACGAAGGAGTCGTACCAGTGGCTTCTGACGCATTTGCAACATCTTTTTGGCCCCATTGTTCCAGATGTGTTTGTCAGTGACAAGGCAGGAGGATTGGTTGGGACCGTGGGGGTAATGTTTCCATCATCGACTCATATATTATGTCTTTGGCATATAGATAGGAATGTGAGAGCAAAGTGTCTAGCGGAGGTGTGAAGGACGACTCATTGTGGTATAGATGAAGCCAAACCGACAGTGGATCATATCATGGCGTCTTGGCAACGTGCTGTATATGCATTGACAGTGGAAGACATGGATACTGCCTTAGACAATTTCAGACGTAGTTGGGGAGTACAGTACCGACGTCTTTGGGGGTATATGGCAGCTGAGTAGTTACCAGTTAGACACATGTGGGCTAAATGTTATACCAATCAAGTGCGGCATTTGGGTAACACAAGCTCTAATAGGGTTGAAGCTGCCCATTCCTCCTTCAAGAAGTGGCTTCAATCATCTACTGGCGCAGTCGACACGGTTAGTCTCCTAATAAATCTTCATTGATACACACATAAGTTTTAGTAGTCTCCTAATTGTTCTTCATTGTCTGTAGGTATTCAAGAAGAACGATGATTACAT